TTTGACTTTCAAATACAAAACTGAAGAGAAGTATAAAAAAATAAGTAGGAAAAGGAAATCATAAGGGACTTGATAAAGTTAAACTGTTTATATTCTTATATGGGAAGATGATACTTATAACTCATAAGAACTTTCTCATAAGAGCAATTAAATGGAGTATATATAGACAGAGGGCATGAGTGTGAGTTGAATATGATGGGGTGATAACTAAAATAATAAAATTAAGAGGTACGAAAGAGGAATGCAGTGGGAGAAAGGGAAAAAAGGAGGGGTAGAATGAGGTAAATTATCTCACATAAAAGAGGCAAGAAAAAGCTTTTACAGTATAGAGGAAGAAGATTGGGGTGGGGGAGTCATAGGGAATACTTGAACTTTATTCTCATCAGAATTGTCTCAGAGAAGGAATAACATACACACTTAGTTGGGTATAGAACTCTGTCTTACCCTATAAGAAAGTAGGAGAGGAAGGGGATAAGAGAAGTGTAGATTGGGGGAGGTGATAGAAGAAAAACACTTTTGAAGAGGGACAGGGTGAAAGGAGAGAGAAAAAAATAGAATAAACGGGGAGATAGAATGGAGGGAAATAAAGTTAGCAATCATAACAAAAAAATTTTTGAAGCAAGTTTCTCTGATAAAGGCCTCATTTCTCAAATATGGAACAAACTGAGTAATACTTATAAAAATGAACCATTCCTCAATTGATAAATGATCAAGAGATGTAAAGTCAGTTTTCAGATGAAATAATGAAGCTATCAATAGACATATTTTTTAATGATCTAAATCACTTGATTAAAGAAGTCAATTAAATGCAAATTAGAGAAATGCAAAATCTCACACCTTTTAGATTGTTTAATAAGACATAAAGGGAAAATGACAAATGTTGGGGGGGATATAGGAAAATCGAGACTCTAATTTACTTTTGGTGGAGTTGTGCACTGATTCAGCCATCCTGGAGAGCAACTTCAAACTATGCCCAAAGGGCTTTAAAATCATGCATATTCTTTGACCTAGCAATACCACTACTGGGGCTGTATCCTAAAAGAGATTAAAAAAAAAAAAGGAGAAGGTTGTAAAGAATTGGAAACTGAGAGGATGTCCATCAACTGGGAAATGGCAGAACAAGTTGTGGTGCATGATTGTGATGGAATACTATCGTGCTGTAAGAAATGATGAGCAGGATGCTCTCAGAAAAATCTGGAAAGACCTACATGAACTGATGCAAAGTGAAATGAGTAGAACCAGGATAACATTGTATACAATAACAGCAATATTGTAAGATGATCAGCTATGAATGACTTAGCTATTTTCATTAATTCTGTGATCCAAGACAACTCTGAAGGACTTAGGATGAAAAATGTTATCCATCTCAGAGAAAGAACTGGTGGAGACTAAATGCAGAAGGAAGCATACTTTTTTACTTTATTTTTTCTTGGGTGTATGTTTTTTTGTGGGGGAAGTCTATATTTTGCAGCATGAGTAATGTGGAAGTGTGTTTTGCATGACTATGCATGAATAATCTATATCAGGTTGCTTGCCTTCTCGTGGGGGAAGTGGAGAGGGAGGTAGAAGATTTGGAACTCAAAATTTTAAAAAGAATGTTAGAAATTTGTTTTACATGTAATTGGGGAAAATAAAATACTAAATTTAAAAAATATATAGGCATGGGGCAGCTTGTACAAAGACACAGACAGGAGGGAAGATGTTTTGTGGGAGGAGCATATAGTATGCTTGTGTAGCGAGAACTCGGAGTACACAAATGGAGAGTAATATGCCATCCGGCAAATAGATTTGCTCCGTATGGCAAAGGGCTTTAAGAATTCAACTGAGAAATTTGTATTTTATCTTAGAAGCAATAGAAAACCTAAAGCTTTGCTTGCTTCCTCTACTTCCTCAATTCTCAGTGCTTAGCAGTCTGGCTTCCAATCTCATCACTCAACTAAAACTGCTTTTCCTGAAGTTTTTAATGATCTCTTAATTGCTCATTCTGATGGCCTTTCCTCATTCTTGATCTTTCTCAGACTGTATATTGCATCACCCTCTCCTGTGTAACATTGCCTCTGTTGGTTTTCATGGTATTGTGTGCTTTCTCCTAGCTCTTACCTGTGTGGCAGCCACTTTAGTTTCCTTTTCTTACTTATCCTCATCAAACTTCCTAATTGTGGTTGTTCCCTAAAATTCTGGTCTCAGGCCCTCTTCTCCCTCTGTTCTTTCTCTTGATAGTGTCATCAGTTTCCGTGGTTTTAACTTTGATCTCTTTGCGTATGACTCACAGATCTAAATATCTCACTTCAGTGTGTCTCTTGAGCTTCAGTCCTGCATCACATTGCCTATTGCACATTTCCAACTAGATGTTCCAGATACATGTTAGACTCTTAACATTTCCAAAACAGAACTCATTTTCTTTAGCCTTAAACCACCGTCTCCTCTTCCAAATTCCCCTATTTCTGTCAAAAGGCACCACTGCTCTTCCAGTTTCCTAGGGATTATTATCCTGAACTCTTCACTCTCCCTCACTTCATTCATCCAGTGAGTTGCCAAATCTTGCAATTTCTACGTAAACAATAGCCTTCATTGTACCCAGTTACTAAAGTCTTTATGGCATTCTAGAGTCCCTTTGCCATCCTGTTAGTGTCCAGCTATTCTGTGTCCTTTGTAGCACACACTAATCCAGATGTGGTCTCATTATGGTAGAGGACAATGGGGCTATAACCTCTCTAGCCCTAGAAAGTTGCTTCTCCTAAAGTCTACAATTGCATTAGTTATTTGGATTGCTATTTCATACAATCAGCTCATTGAATTTGCCTTCCATTAATCCTCTCTTGTAGTTTTCTAAGAAATGTTTTTCTGGGCACAGGCACACAAAACACACACACATAACAATCTGGTACTTATGAAATTGATTTTTTTTTCTTAATTTGAGTGTAAAATTTGCATCTTATTAGATTCAACCCACTGCCAAGACCATTTTGGCTTCTCAAGCTCTCATCTGACATGTTAGCTTTCTCTCCCAGTTTTTTGTCTTCTACAAATTTAAGTAGCATGCCATCTATGTTTATGTATATGTGAACAATTTGGTTGGTGAAAAGGAGGGAAAAGGAAATGTATGAGGAAAAAGGATGAAATCAACTTTTAAAGGATGTATGATAACAGTCCTTTTGTATATGAACAGTATTTTTGCTGAAAGGAGCAGGAAAAGGTCTTTTATGTGTGTAAAACTAATAAAAATCCACTTGAGAAGAAACACAATGTCTTTGGTAAAATATGAGAAAAGACATTAGGAGGACCAAGTAGAGACCTGGCCCTCTGAAAAATATACTTTGGGGGCAAAGAAGTGACTGAGGATATCTGCCATTGTTGTCCCTCAGTTCATTTGCGTGTCTTTTTTTTTTAAGAGTTTAGGAGGTTAAAATCCACAAAGTGATAAATCAAGTAACTCTTTAAAAACTGGAAAAATTAAATAAATATTGTTAGTTATTTTATAACTGATAGCTAGATTTTGTGAATTTTACTTCATAAGGAAAAGATGAACCACTGATCATTAAGAGGTTCTGATTTGAGGCATTGCGAACAGTTAATAAGCTTACAAGAGGTGAGTGTGAAGACACCAGGAGAATCAGCTAAGAAGAAGGCTTCAGTGTCTGTAGTGGGAGCCTGCTGATTTTTATGGATTGGTTGAAGAAAAGTATTGCAACCCTGATGGTTAGAAAAGAACTGCACTTTGCTGCTATTTGTACTTTTGCCTTCTAGCACCATCTACAGCTTGAGAGGTGAAACCTTTCATGTTACTTCCTTCCCTAGTTTGAGGGAGAAACAAGTAAAAAAATATATTTTGAATGTGCTTTGCTTTTAGAAGAGATTTGGAGTTAATTAGACAAGGAGTTGGCTGGGTTTGTCTGTGTTACCCAGAGATCCAACTTGAAGAGCTTTGTAGTTTTCTGGGTGCTATGTTACCACTGTAGTAGTGTAACACTTTTCTTAGCACCCCAGTAAGAGGGACTGTTGGTTAAAAGAGCATGTCACTGCTTCATCATCTCAGGAGCAGAAGAGTATATTTATCATACATCAGGATAATGCCTAAGTTTTTTATTAGTGCATTCTCTTTGAGTATATTTTATCATTTTAACTGTAGTAATGTTAATAAAAATACTGAAAGACCAATTGCAATAGCCAGTCTTGGTCCCAGAAAACAGATAGTGAAATACAATTTCTTTTTCTTGGTAGACAGGTTGGAGACCGTATGAGCAAAATCTCTCATGCACCCTCAGATGTAGTTATTTTGTTGGTCAGTTTTGCTTAATTGTTTTTCTTTATTTAAAAAAAAAGTGTTGGGGTATATCAGTAAGTGACTTTTCAAAAAAAAAACGAAACAAAGGTACCACTTTTTCTTTTTTCAGCTGTCTAGAGTAGAGCAACTAAAATTATTGAGGAGATAAGGTAGAAATTGCCATTAGAGGATAGAATATAATAATAGTTAGCATTTATATACCACTTCAAGGTTTGTAAAGAGTTTTATCTACTCACAACGACCTGGTGAGGTAGGCACTATTATCACCATTTTGGAGATGGGAAAAATAAGATTTGGAGAGGTTACATGGCTGCCCAGGGTCACAGCTGTGTGAGGCAGGATCTGAACTCTGTTCTTCCTGACTCCAAGACCAACATGCTATATGCTTCACCACCTAGAAAACCTTCATGTGAAAAGCTTCAAGTGCAGTGTCCTACTGCAGATGGGATTTCTGTAGTTAGAAGACCACCCTAGTTCAGTTTAGAGACAAGAAGGTTACCAAATGATAGCCTTTTTCTCAGTCACTGCTGACCCAAGACATTGTCCTCCAAGGTGAGGCATTTGCAGTCTTTGTTGGGAGAGGTAGTGCTCCATTACTGTGAGAACACAGATTCTGAGAGGATTGAAGTCAGCCTTGAAAAATGCTTCTCATCGCCAGTAAACTCTCATATAACTTACTTTTGACTGTAACTCTTTCTTTTTTTTTTTTAAATAGGAGAGCCTGAGAAGGAACTGAATCCTAAGAAGAAGATTTGGGAGCAGATCCAGCCTGACCTTCTCACTAACGACCAGTGTGTTGCAACATATAAAGGAGTCCCCTTTGAGGTGAAAGGGAAGGGGGTCTGTAAGGCTCAGACCATGTCCAATAGTGGAATTAAATAAAAAAAAAATCTTTGGCAATTGAGATACTTTAAAGAAATTTTGATGGAAAGTATTGTAAGCACAATAAAAAAATATATATTTCTTCCATAATCTTCTTAAAAGTTACTGACTCATTTCTGTTCTTGCCCAGACCTACCTGTTGATTTTGTGTCTATAATATTTTCTGTATTAGGATTTAGTGGTTGAGCACTTAGAAAGCGCTTTACAGTTTTACATGTTTTGCAGTTATTTTTATTAGTTATTGTTTATAGATCCACAAGTAATTTGTTTTTATTATTATTACTGTTATAGATGGGGAAGCTTAAATAGGTTGTCAGTAGGGGCAGCTGGGTGGCACAGTGGATAGAGCTAGGGACCTGGAGTCTGGAAGACCTGAGTTCGTATTTGGCCTGATACTTCCTAGCTGTGTGACTGGGCAAATCAGTTAACTTCTGTTTGCCGCAGTTTTCTCATTTGTAAAATGGGGATAATAAAATAGCTCCTACCTCCCAGGGTTGTTTGGAGGATCAAATGAGATGATATTTGTAACGTGCCTAGCACTTAATACATGCTATATAAATGGTCGTAGTTATTATTAATAACTCATAGTCATGGAATTGATGGAAATTCAAACCTTGAGCTTGGATTATATGAGAACTTGACTTTCTTCAAAAATGGTGACTTGGACTCTTCAGCTTGTCAGCCACCTGTGTTGTAGGGTTCTTGAGATTTAGGGACATATGATGACCTAAGAGAACCAAGCATCATAAAGCGGAATGACACAAGGTTATCAATTGTCCTCTGTAACTCTACCGGTATACCTTATCCCTGACCATTAGGAACTTGATGTTTGATTTGTCTTCAGCTGAGATGCTCAATTACAGGTTGAATAACTAATGACTAACCTTTGACCAGCTCTTATGTTAGATCAAAGCTAGAAATGCTTTTTTTTCTTAAAAGCCACTTATTGGGGCAGCTCGGTGGCACAGTGGATAGAGCACCAACCCTGAAGTCAGGATGACCTGAGTTCAAATCCGGCCTCAGACCCAACACTTGACACGTACTAGCTGTGTGACCTTGGGCAAGTCACTTAACCCCAAATGCCTCACTTAAAAAAAAAAAAAGCCACTTATTTTCTAAAATAAAGGTTCTTAACTTTTTTTTTTAATGTCATGGCAGTCTGTTGACTTCATAGACTCCCAAGAGCCCGTGATCTAAAAGAACTACCTTTAATGTTCACTTGCTTTTTAATATAAGGTCATATGATCTCATACTCTGCTATGTCAACATATTTAAAGTAATTATAGTTAAAACTTGACATGTAAAATTAAACAGATAATCTATACACACGTAGTAGAGGAGGGAAGTGTAGAACAATTAATGTAAGAATTTCATGGGCAAATGAGAAAAGAGAATAGGGCAAATTATAAGGTACTTAGTAGGTATTGAGCAGTTAGTGGCATAGTGGATAGAGCACATGGCTTGGAGTCAGGAAGACTCATGTCAGACACTTACTAGCTATGTGACCTTGGGCAAGTCACTTAACCGCGTTTGCCTCAGTTCCTCATCTGTAAAATGAGCTGGAGAAGGAGTTGGCAAATCAGTCCAGTATCTCTGCCAAGAAAACCCCAAATGGGGTCACATAGAGTCAGAGGTGACAGAAAATACAAAGATGAAATGAATGAAAAAACATTTATTACTCACTTAATGTGCAGGACACTGTACGAATACAAAGGATACAAGCACAAGTAAGGTAATCCTTGCCTTCAGGAAGCTTACATTTTAATGGAGAAAGAACCCATACACAGGTGAACAAGAATTGGAGCAAGATGGCAGAGAGTAAGGAATGGCAGCATGGTTTAGTTGGGGCTGGAAGCTATGTAGTGGGTCCAGAACCAAGTAAGATAAACTAAAAGCTAATCAGGACTGGGAGGCTGAGTGCAAAAGGGGAAGAGGAAGAGCCTAGGATGCAAAGAGTATGGCTTGGCAAAGGCTTGAGAAGATGTACGAGAGAGCTTCTGTCTCTAATGAGCTAATAGGGGAGGATAAGAGGAGGATCCCCCAAAGTAACCCGAAATGACACGCGTGACTTACTGTGGTAAAACAGCAGTTTTCTGATCCAGCCCACCTTACCATGACGCAGCTTTCTCCCCACACACAACTGACTTTGCCTGCTACTTCCCTGTCGGCTTTCATGGTATGATTCCTACCCACTCCATCCCCATGGGGTTCTTCTAATTGGCCACCAGCTTCTCTGACACTGTTTTCTGGCCTAGGGTTATACCCTGATGATTGACCAGGCATATTTCCTCATAGAAATAAAGGGGGCGGCATCCAGGGAGCTAAGTGTTGCTGTGTCTTTGCTGTAAATCCATGTTGCCTATCCTTGTTGTGATAGGGCAAAGCAAACCTCCTTCGGTAAATGTTCAGTGACTTAGGAGTACCTCATTTTGTCCCAACATCAAACCTGAACTAAGAGAGGACTGGTTTTAGATCAGTATGTACAGTAAGGTGCAAAATAAATCATTTGCAAATATGTGCATGTATGCATATATAGAGATATACACATATATACACACAGTACAAAATAAAGCGTTTGCATATACGTGCATGTATGCATATATAGAGATGTACACATATATACACACACACAGTGCAAAATGAAGTGTTTGCAAATGTACATGTATGCATTTGTATACACACACACATGCAAAGTTTAGAGTCAAGTATGTGCTACCCATACAAAGAATTCTACATTTTTTAAAACTCAATCTTACGGAAGTGAATGTTGAAAACTAAAAATAAATAAATTAAATTTTAAAAAATTCTACATTTTTCAAGAAAGTTTTCAAGAAGTTAAACATGACTAAATGAGAATAGAGCATCCTTTGATACCAGATGCAAAATAAAGTTCAAAACATTCCTTGGTCTGAATTGAGTTGCAGTTATTTGGGATGAAAAAGGCTTTTCTGCCTGACCCGTTGATTCCATTTCCTTTTGTCATTTAACTGGGTACTTGAATCATTTATTATTCAAATTTTCCCAACTTGGTGTAAATGCACTGAGTTAAGGTACATGCAGGTAGTTATGTTAAAGCTCTTTTAAATATTTTTTCTTGGGGCAGCTAGGTGCCACAGTGGATAGAGCACTGGCCCAGAAGTCAGGAGGACCTGAGTTCAAATTCGGCCTCAGACCGTACACTTGACACTTACTAGCTGTGTGACCCTGGGCAAGTCAATTAAGCTCAATTGCCAAAAAAAAAGAAAAATATTTTTTCTTAAGTTACTAAGGTATCTTCCTATAATCTCTGCTACTCTATTTTCCAATATACTCTGTTATTCTATAAAGGCAAATTTCACCTCAGGTTGAGTTAGTGAAAACAAGCAAACTAGCTAGCACTGATATTTTACTATATATAATCTAAAACTATCTGGGCCAGTTCATTGAGATGAAGCAATAAATAAGTGGGGGTTGCAGGACTCAAACCCCAATCTCTCTGGCCTTAACAAGTGCACTGCTGTTTCTCCTACACCATTATTTCTTTCTTAAACGGGTAGTTTTGCAAAAGTTATTAATGTAATATTTTTTCCTTCCACTTTATTCCAATTCCAAATAGAGGAACTGTTTCCTTTACATTATAGCTGTCTGGCTGCCTGCTGCAGTGACTATTTTGCTTTGTGAAAAGAAGATTGACCATATTGAAATTGATTTTCTGGTTTTCTGGTACACATTGGGAGTTCAGGTTATGTCATGTGTTTTTAGGTCTGGTGATGTTCTCATCACCCAGACACATCACCCAAATTTCTTTTGCAATGAGGATTAAGTTAACACATACAAAACTGGTTTATATTCCTCTGGAGTATTTTTGTTTTGTTAATTTTTTTAACTTCAGCCATTGTGGTGAATTACTTGGGACAAGCGACAATTTTGATGTTTCACTCTGACAAAAATGGTCATTTGTGTGTGCTTTTCTTACAATTTGAATATCAAACCTGGACCAGATTAAGACAGATTGAGCTAGTTTCTCGACCTTTAGGTAGTCCTGTCATTTGAGTGCTGAATTTTGTACCCTACATATGATTTATTAGTTTTACATTGTTTTTAATTCTGTGGTTTTTAAGAAAGGATATCACTCCAAAGAAATGTGCAAAAGTCATAGCTCTTCAAGAGCACACTTAAAGTGACTGTTGCAGATACTGCAACAGCTGTTGATGTGGGGAGGACAAATGTTTCAAGGATCACTCCATGCTTACAATGAAACAGCATCAGCAGTACTGAAGCACAAAGAAATGTTGTCATTGAAAACAAAAAGCAGTGTTGAAGACTGATAAAGTATTGCTATAAAGTGGCATATCTAATTGGGATAGCTGGATGGTACAGTGGATAGAGCAATGGGCCTGATATCAGGTAGACCTGAGCTCAAATCTGGCCGCAGATATCAGCTGTGTGACCCTGGAAAAGTCACTTAACCTCTGTGTGCCTTAATCCACTAGAGGAGAAAATGGCAAACCACTCCAGTATCTTTGCCAAGAAAACCCTAAATGGAGTCATGAAGAGTCAGATGTAACAAACTGAACAACAGCAAAGCATATCTTGAATACAAAGGAAACAGACCTCCACAGAAGAACTTGTAATGACAGTGAGAAGACCCATCAAAACCAGCTGCTATAAACATTGCTATGAAGTGCACGTCATGGGCAAATAACTCTTTTTTTTTTCATTCAATTCTATTCCAGAATTGATGTCATAGGAAGTCCATGTGTACCTTTAAGATCTGGTCATCTTTAGACTGTAAAATATCCTCTCTCTCTCCCTCCCCCCCAAAAAAGGAATTTTTTTTTAACTTCATGTGGGCCCAAGACAGATAAGTCTCGAGAAAGGTGTCAGAAGTGCTGGAAATTTGAATTTGCCCTCTTCCCCTTGAAGTCGATGAGAAGTAGACCTTTCTGACAATACACTGCTGCATGTGTGCTTCTGATTACTCTGACTATTACTCCAAAACCTGTCCTTATAAACAATTCTATTTGGTTGCCATTACACCATGTACAAGACCCCTTTTAGAAGCCGGACAGCATCCTGATGGTAAGGCCTTAGAGTTCTTGTCATATACA